GGGGAGGGCCAGAGACAGGCTGATACTGGGAGCCACTCCGAGTTTGAGGAGGACTGAGAGGTTCACGACCCTCTCTAGCCCGTGGCGGCTCAGGGGCTTATATAGGCAGAAACCACAGAGTTTAACAGTTTATAACATTTTTATACAAGGCTGGTTTAAACAATGAGTTAAACAATTTAATTAGTTACACTGTTCTCTCCCCCCATCACTTGTGTTTTCTAAGGCCGGTTTTTACTTTTTTTAATTTAAAAGAGTATTTAAGATTCTGTCTTAAAACAATGTGATAACCATTAAGTTTTTGCATGAGAAAGTTGACTTTGGTGCTGCCCTCCGGGGGCCACCCACTCTGAAGGTGGGCCCTTCTCGTTTGCAAAATTTTTGCAAGTCAAAGGCATTAACAGAGAAGCCATTGAGACTAGCTCCAGATGGCTTCAGAGACACACAAAACCAGGGACAAAGAGACCAATTACACAGAACAAATAACGTACTCAAGACTTAATGTCCCTACCAGACAGGTGTCCAGCCACTCTTGCTCACAAAATTTCTGTAAATCAAAAGCGTTAACAGAGAACCCATAGGGTCCGGCCCGCTGCTGGAAATCCTGAAAGTTTTTTTTAAAAAAAACATTTAATCGGAGAACAGGCGACACAAGACATAGACAACCCTTTTTGACAAGAGGACACGACACACTACCCCACAATCCACAGAAACACAGACACAAACTGAAAACGATAAGACAATTGGCCAATATCACTTTTTGTTATTTCTTTGTTGTTCTTGACCGCGGTCTGTCAGTTGCAGGCACGCTGACAGGAAAGACAGTGCTGTGGGCAGACACTAAGGAGCCACCGAATAAAATCCAACAATGAGGTAGGGGGCCGGCTCAGTCAATCGGCACTCTCCGACACCACCTATACCTATTAGCCCTTTCCTCGCTCCCTTGCTGGCCCCAATGCTCGGCTGGGCCTAACACCTGCGGTATTAACCCTCTTTCTTTTCACCGAATGACAAGCTGACACGACAGGCGATGGCGGGGGCTAAAGCATGTAGAAAGCCAAGACTAGAGTATCAAGAGACTCAGAAATTTCTTAGATCGTTTCCAGAAAGATGAAACTTACTACTGCCCAATGCAACACAGTGAGAGTTATCTTCTCTCCTTTTCCCCAGTCCTCCAGGGACACCAAATAAAGTCCAATGTCCAATAAAAGAGCCAACAGACCAAACACGCTGGCGGTGAGATAGGAGGCTGGCCCAGTCATCTGACTGTGTCGTAGAACCAGAGAAGTAAGAAAGTAGAAGATCAGAACGATAGGATACCAGAAAACCAGATTCCCGCTGAGCGGCCCAGGTCTTACCCCTCTCGGGTGCCTCCCACTCTTTGGGATGAAACCAGGAGTTCCAGGTGACATTTCACCTCTTGGAACTGTGTCCAGAAAAACCAGATTCCCGCTGAGTGGCCCTGGTCTTACCCCTCTCGGGTGCCTCCCACTCTTCGGGATGAAACCAGGAGTTCCAGGTGAAGTCTCACCTCTTGGAACCCAACCCTGGGAGTTCAGCTGCGTCCAGCCTCCCACGGGTAATCAGACGGGCCCACAGACAACAGAACAGATCAGAACAGAACTCACCGGTGAACAGAAACAGAAGACTCGTCCTGCAGCTTTTTAGGCATTTAAGGTACTTGCAACCGGCAGGTAGTCTGGCCCTCCCCGGGGCTGAGGAGAAAAGTCCTCCTCAGGAGCCCCCCCCAGGTTCAGGCACTCGGCCCCGCACCACATCTCCAAGCACCAGTGGCCACCAGGTGCCCCCGTAACAGGGCGATCTCGCTGGGGCCTCCAAATGTTATGGTACAGAGTGCGAGAAGTGACCACTGAGAGAACGAATTGAGCCAAATCGTGAGTCTTTATTAGCTGGCCAACAACTACCCTCTGCACTGCTCAGAGACAGCAGCACAGAGAGCAGTCCCGAGCCAGGAGAGACCAGCTCTTTTAAAGACAAAAACCACACACTGATAAATCATCTAATTGCTTGCATAAGCACAGTTACAGAAGCAAAAAAGCGTTAGTCCTAACCATGGTACAATCTTATCTTGGGCCGACATGGTCTGGGAGGTTTTGGGAATTCTCCCCTTTCCTTAGATGAGTTCCGTAGGAGTTACAAGTCACAGCTATAATTTTACTTTGAAGCAAGTATAACGACATTAATCTTAGCCAACATACATTTGACATCTCATTGTTTAAGCCATATCACATTTCACACGGGGAAGCACTGCTGGGCGTCTCAGTGCTCTGGGGCGCTCCGACCCTCTGGCCCAGGCTACTATTTTATCTCGTGGACAGCTGTGTGAAAGGCACCGTTTTCCTCCTTACTTTCTTAGGTGCCCTAACGAAGGCGAAGGCGAGATAGCAGGTTTGGGGTCAGATAAGGGTCAGCTGAAAACTTTCCACTCTCTTAAGCAAGCAAGCATAATACAGAAGCTAATGGCTGGTTATTTGCTGCTTATGGTCTCTAGGCCCTAACACTGAGCAGCACTGTTTTCGATAGCTTGTGTGGATTGTAGGATTATAGGAGATAAATATCAACTCCCTCAGGGCACCAACTTTCATTATAGCTGTTTCGGAAGAATTCTTTTCATTATTTCTATATTGTATAATTATAATAGTATCTACTGGTTACATATGGAAAATGCTGAATATTGTCAGATTGCTTTTCCTCTCCCACAACTTTTCCATGCACAGACCTCATCATTCATGAGTTCTGTGTGCCATACGAAGCTTCCAAGTAACAACAGGTCTGTGTTTATCTGGTCATGTCTGATTGTGAGAGAAGATGCCTGCAGAAACTCTGAGCCACATCACTTTTGATTTTGTGAGCTGTAGATCTGGGGACATTCTTGGAATGGGCCTTGTCCTTGACAATCCAGTCCAGCGCTGGGCTGGTTCCAGATAGACAGTGCGCAGGAAGGATATCCAGATTGAATGGATGGAGTAGGTTAAGCCGCCCACCATTCCTTTGCCCAAGGAGCCTGGTATTGGGCCTTCTGATTCCTCAAAATGGGCATCGGTGTGTGGACCTTCAGGTGGGTCACACTGCACACCCGCTGTGCTGTTCCAGAACGGCCCTTCCCGGCCCTCCTGCCGAAAAGCATCAGTGGACAGGACAGTGATGACGGTGCACTCTGAGGCCAGCATAGCCTGCAATCCACAAGGCAGTGAATCCCAAAGTGGGGACTGTCCACTCTCAGCCCTCCCGCCTCTCCAGTACAAGGGGTGCAGTGCGGCGGCCTCCATGGGGAGGCGATCAGAATGCACGCCGGCAGGCGCCACTGACAACACCTTGCTGTGCTTGTGTGGGCACACGGAAGGTGGGTCTCTTCAGAGAAAGTTCACCGGCTCTCCATCTCTGCTGAGAATTGGCCTTTGATCTCATACTCACTGCGTCTGCGGGCAGCAGACACATGGAAGGACATTTCCATGAGCTAATGATGACTTTATTACCGTATGAGAAAAGACTGGATCCCAGTTACGGAATCACAGAAGGGTTCCTGGGTGCTGTGTACTTCCTCCCCCACCTCTGCAGCAGCTGGGTCTCCTCCCATCACGGCAGGCCCACCAGGTCCCTGGGCTCCCACCTTTCCCAGGAGGAAACCTGTCCTGTGTCCCAGCGCAGGCACCGACTCTTCCCTGCTGCCCAGTGTCTGAGCCTCCATCTTGACAGGCTGCCTCTTGTCCTGCCCGCTCCGTTTTCACCCCCAGGAACTGACGACCTGTTGCCGGTGCGCACCCCACAGGGCGGCTGTGCCACGGCTTGCCTGATGCTGCGCTGTGGGCTGAATTGTGGACTCTGCGTCAAAATTCCTGTGTCGCAGTCCTTACCCCAGGGCCTCAGAAGGTGACCATATTTGGAGATAGGGCCTTTAGAGAAGTGACTAGGTTAAAATAAGGTCTCGTTAGGGTGGTCCCCAACCCAATCTGACTGGCGCCCTATAAGAAGAGGGGATTAGAATACAGACACCCACGGAGGATCGAGCTTATGAGGACACAGGGAAGAGGTGCCATCTGCCAGCCAAGGGAAGACCCCTCTGGAGAAAGCAGCCCTGCTGACACCTTGACCATGGCCTTCCAGCCTCCTGAATGTGAGAAACTAAGTTTCACTGTTGAAGCCCGGTCTGTGGGAAGCTCTAGGAGATGGATTGTGCTTCCTTCTGGGAGTTTTTCAGTTACCTCCTGTCTCCTAGGTCCTCCCTCTGGTGTCTGGGATACCTCCGGGACTCTGTGCTAGACCCGCGGGTCCCACAGCTCTCCACCCGCGTGCGCCCTGTCTTCCGAGGGTGGGTGTCCCAGAGCCTAAGGCCGGATCTGCCTCACCCTGGAGGAGGTTCTGGCTCTGGATCTCTAGGTCTTGGCCAGCCACATGCCACCACAGGAGACCAGACTGTCCCCAGCCTGGAGGTCATCGCTGCAGCCCTCACCCAAGGCACAGACACTCTGTCCTCCTCCCAGGAGCTCACTGCCCGAGCAGGGCGGGCCGGGGTCTGCCGCTCCCTGGTGAGCCTGGCTCTCTGTGTATTCTCCATTTTCTTCCCTGCCACTTCCGCCCATTTGTCCTTGTTCAAGTGGGGACAAAGATACCCTCCCTTTGTGCAGCTGTTTTTTACGCATTCCGAAGGTAGCATAATGGTCCTTTTCAGTCTTCTCCAAGCTAAACAGCAGCTCGTTGCTTAGGATCGTGCGTGTGACGTGTTGTCTAGAACAGCAGTCCCCAACCTTTTTGGCCCCAGGGACAGGTTTCGTGGAAGACAATTTTTCCACCGGGGTGCAGGGTGGAGGGAGGAGGAGTGCGGCAGAGCTCTGTAGCCCGGGGGTTGGGGACCACAGATCTACGAGATCTCTGGTTAGGCAATTTTCTCTCAAATATTACGCTTAGATAAAATAGTCCAGCCGCAACCCAGTACGTACAGGAGACAGTGGTCTGTTGTTGCCTTTGAACATGCTCTGTGGCTGCTCTCCTAGCACACTGTCCATTCCGTGTTCATCCAACAGAATTTTCTGGAACATCATGCGGCCCATCCACTGTCCTAAGCGTGCAGGCACCGTCCTGGAGGGGCGGGCCGTGGGAGGTGCCTGTGCAGGGCTGCAGGGAGCAGAGTGACCTCTAGGCAGAGGCATCCACCTTGCAGAGGACTGAACAGGAGCGGGGCCTGCTGAGACCCCCACCCCCACCCGGGTCTCATTCTGTTTTCTGAGGCTGGTTTATCCTGTTTTGAGACGTCCCTTCAGTCCTAGAAACTGCAGTGGCCACGCTGCTTTGGGCCTTTCCCAACAGGAAGCCATCCCCGCTTAATAGTCTAACAATCTTAGAAACTGCATGGTTTGGGAAGTAGAAATGAAAAAATTATGGTGAAAGATGCATTTGGAAAAACTAAACAAAACCCAAGGTGAAGCAGACGCATGTCGTTCCGTCAGCGCGATCCCCCATGCTGAGGTGCCGCCCCTCCGAGCACACCACACACGGACTCAGTGCAGCACAGCCAGTGGGCGGGCCTGCGGGTGTTTGCACCGACAAGGGCTCTCTCTGGGTGCTGGAGGGAGGAGGGAGCCCAGGTGGAGAGCTCAACTCCTGCTGGGTGGGGGTGTGGGGCCCATTGCGGGGCCCTTCAGGACCCATAATTCCCTCCCTCCTTTCCTTCCTTCCTCCTTGCTTTCTTTCTTTTATTCTTCCTTTCTTCCTGTCTTCCCTTCCTTCCCTTTCTTTCGAAAAAGCCTGCCCCGGCCCCCCGGCCAAAAACCAAGGGCCGCAACAAAACCCAACGCAACCCCCAAACCCCGGGCCCCAAGGAACCCCCCGCCCAAGCCGCCGAAGAGCTGGGACTACAGGCGCACACCACAATGCCAGCTAATTTTTCTATTTTTAGTAGAGACAGGGTCTCACTCTTGCTCAGGCTGGTCTCAAACTCCTGAGCTCACGCAATCCTCCCACCTCAGCCTCCCAGAGTGCTGAGATTACAGGCCTGAGCCACTGCACCCGGCCCCCTCTTATTTAAAGCTGTACCTATTACTACATATTTAAATGCTATAGGACGAATCTCCCAGGGCCCGTCCTTTTCTGCAGGGCCGGTGGCTATCCCTGCCCTGCGGCAGTTTTGGTAAGCAAACTGCTGAACGAGTTATGATCTGTGCAACATTTAGGGTGCAAAATCAAAAGCCCTGGCAGTGGATTGCCTGTGAAGGAATAGGGAGGTGTCTCCCAGAGCTCTGGCAACCTAGGAGGAGATAGATGCCTTTTTCTTAGGAATTGTAAGATCTCTCAGCTGCTTCTCATATCACATGGGAGAGATAAGTAATTGTTGCCAATCAACCAGAAAGCTATCTCCAGGGACTTTCTGCCCTTGGGACCTTTGGGTGGCCCCGCAGGCTTGTCACTGATGATAGGACAGGTTTGGGGACTTTTCCCAGTGTCTGTCGTATGTCAGGCCATGATCCAGTGGGGCACCTGCATGCTCAGGTGCACCAGATACTGTTCTCAGCACAGGCGACGCAGTGATAAACAAAACAGACCACGCCCCACCCTCTGGAGCTTTCCGTCCAAATGCTGGAGCTTGCTCAGATCTGACTCTGTCTCACAAAGGGAATGAGCTGCTTTTATTTTTTCAGGTCCGCATTGGGTGTGTTGCTTCATAGAGCACTTAATGAACCACTGGTTGATATTAGCACTTGAAGAAGCTCTAAGACCAAAGCCAATAGCAAATATCACAAATTGTCCTTGGAAACATTCCTGTCTTGCTTGCGTTATCTGCTATTGTCTACTTCAAATGCCAGCCATAGCAAAGCCTGCCGTGCCGTCGTGGTTCTGGTAGGACAGCTCCGCACGCTCACCTGCCCAGTGCCCACCCCCCCAACTGCCGCTCCAGGAGTCCTGTCCCTTCAGAACGGTCCCCAACACTGGCGCCCTGCATGTGGCCGGGATGAAAGGCAGTGGAGGGCATGGGAGAGCCGCGGTGGAGTTGCCCGGTGGCCCCGGCACAAAGCTGTTCACAGTCGCCGCTCATGTCTGTTCCAGGTGCTTTCAAGGCTGGTTTCCTGGTCTTCGCATCCCTGTGTGCCTGGTATTGCGGGTACCTGCTCGCAGAGCTCATTCCGGATGCACCCCTCACCAGCGCTGTCTATAACATCCGCAGCATCGGCAAGAAGCCAGTCCTCAAAGGTGAGTTCCATGTCCAGTTGGGGCAGACTGCCCCCTCGCAGCACCTCCAAAGAGGCAGGAACGTGGGTCCCGCCCTCAGCTCTGCCCCTGCCTGGCGACTTTATGTTGAGGAAGAGAAAAGCGCTTTGCACAGTCTCACATTTAGGTCCATTCCGAGGTAGGTGCCGCTGCCAATCCTCATGTTAGACGTGGACAGTGCGGCCTCAGCTGCCCAGCCACGACCCGGAACTGCAGCCCAACCCCAACCTCTCCCCTTCCAGCCCAGGTCTTAGCTTCCTCCTATGTGAGACACAGGAGGGGCGTAGGTCCTAAACTCCAGAATCCTTTTAAAGTTTCTAAAGGACTGAACAGCTCTTTGAAAGTCATCTATAAAGCGGCAGGGCGTGGTGACTCATGCCTGTAATCCTAGCACTTTGGGAGGCCAGGAGTTCAACAGAAAGTCACCTGTATGGTCTTCGCAAGCAAAAGGGAGCAATTAAGTGGACGTGTAAGAAATGTCAGGTGCTTAGAAGACATTTTTATTGGCGGACAGACCTCCCCTGACTGTCAGCTCAGCAATGGCTGAACTGTGGGTGGCGGCTGTTCTCTCCCCCATTGACTGCCTGCGCCAGGCACCGTGCGGGAGCCTTGGAGGACAGAGAACAGGCACGGAGGTCCTGCCCCTTTGGCAGTGAAATCCTAGCGAGGGGAGATGACAGTTTAAAAAGGAACAGATGTGCTTTGAGAGAGGGTGGTCGGGGAAAGGCTCTGGGAAGCTGACAGTTGAGAAGAGGCGTCCGTAAAGCAGGGGAGGGAGGCCTGCGCATTTCTCGGGCCTGCGCCAGTTTGGGGTAGAACATGGTGTCTGCGCCCATTCGGGCTGATGTAACGAAACCACAAACAATACCAAAAAAACAACAAACGTTTATTCCTCATAGTCTAGGAAGGTGGGAAGTCCCAGATCAAGGTGCCCGCAGAGTCAGTGTTGGTGAGGGCTGCTTCCTGGTTCATAGGCAACGCCTTCTCGCTGCGTCCTCAGGTGGCAGAAGGGGCAAAGTGGTCTCTGGGGTTCCTTTCGTAAGGGCACTGATCCCATTCCTGGAGGCCCCACCCTCATGACCTACTCACCTCCCAAGGGCCCCACCTCGAACACCATCACACTGGGGGTCAGGTTCCAGCACAGGAATTTAGAGGGGACAGAAACATTCAGTCTACAGCACGTGGGTTGCACACTGAAGGCCCAGACGACAAATCCGGCATACAGACAAAATCTGTAAAAGCGAAACAAATAAAACATGGGCCAACATTTAAAAATCGGAGGTTTTCACGTAAAACCCCGGATTTATAGCATCCCTCGAAACATCAGGAGCTCTGGCACCCCCGGCCCTCCCACCTGGGAGACAGCAGTCAGCCAGGCTGGGCAGGCTGCAGGTCACGAAAGAACTGGAGTCTGGCCAGGATCAAAGGTATCTGTGTGGGTGACCCCGGTTAAAATTCACAGAACTATGGAGGGAACAAGGAAAACCGGGCCCTGTGCTTTATACGTAGAAAGATTGTACACAGGGGACACTAACCGCTGCGTTCTTTATTTCCTGGTTTAAATTTGATTTTACAGTACACCTTCTGGGAAAGAGTGAATTATTTCAGAAGGAAATTCCTGATGGCAAAGTCCATTCCTTGATTAATTTAGCAAATATTTATTAACAATCTCCCTCCATACGGCACAGTCTGCGTGTGTGTGTTTTTAAGGTTTATCCTTGGTCTCTAGGAGTCTCAGAGTCTACTAGGGAAGAGCTTAAAAACCAAATCATAATGTTAGAAAACTGAATAAAGAAACTTTATGTGCAGGATGTGTTAAATTATGCATTTGGCACGCAACTCAATTAGGAAGGAAGCGAAATGACAAAAGATTCATTAAAAATTATATTAGAAAACTTGTGTAACATTAGAGTAATAAACTGTGCCCCTTTTCCAGATTTCATTGGCAATAAATATGCTGGTATATTATTTTAATACAGGAATAAAGTATAAAAATGAATTTGCACAAATATAAAAAAACTGGGTGAAGATTTAAAAGAACAAATTTCTGTAAAAACATTCCTTTGCAGGTTAATTACCTTTTATGCCCCCCTCCCAAAAAGGACTCTATAGGATTTGACTGCCTGAGGTGTTTTTATTATTGATAAGAATTTGCATTGAATTTGCCTGTAATCATACTGCTGATGGCGTGTGTGCTGTGTGTAGGTAAGGCCCCACGCCGTGTGCAGGGCGTGGGAGACGCCCTCACAGGGACTACTGTCTCTTGCGTTTGGTCTACTTTTATAGACAAGCTAAGTTCATCCTGGAGACAATGCCTCTGCAGCCCGTCTTTTCAGAAGGGCTTGTTCACGAGGTGGGCCAGGGATGCCCTCCTCCCCCTCCCTACGCCTGAAGCATGTCCGGTCCCAGGTGCTTCACTGCAAAGATGGAGGGGGAGGGGCGACAAGGGGTGGCTCCTGGTGCGGTGTGTCCCTCCCACTTCAGAGGGACACGTCACTGCTTGGGGCCTGCTGGGCTCAGTTTGGGGGCCATGCGTGGTGATTCCTGTCCGGCTAGTGTGGATGAGAGGCTTGCACGAGGAGTGCCCGGCCGGCAGCAAGGCTTACTTGGTGCTGGCGTCGCCCCTGTGGCTGGCGAGGAGTCCTTCAGGTGCTGCAGGCACAGCCTCCCAGGGCTCTGAGCTCCTCCTGGGACCCCTGCACTCTGCTGGAGCCACTCAGCACAGATCTATGCTGCTCAATAGGCAGGAAAGATCGTGATTTCCCCGACTTTGGAGAAGGTTTGAGGATTGAGGTGCAGCTCCCGAAATGAGCACATGCTCTGCAAATTCTGAGTTACTCTTCGCTCATGCAGAGTGACTGGGACCCTCTCTTGGAGAACGTTTGTTTTAAAAGTCTGTAAATCCCTGGGGGCATTTGCTGGGGGTGACCAACATGCTCGATCAGAACCTGAAGCACAGGCGCCCACTGAGACGTGAGGTCAGTACTGGGCACTGCGAGAAATAAGCCACCAAACAAGAAAACTACAAACTCAGAGTTCAAAGCTGTTAATGGAAACAGACGGAAGCTGGGAGTCCAGGATCACATGAGCGAATCACTGTCAGGTCCTGGGAGGACTGGTGGGATTCCTCCTGCATGGACCAGGGCCTCCGCGCCTTGGGTTTGGCGGGAGGTGACATCGGTGCTCATTAGCAAGAACAAGGCCCGGCAACTGTGCTGGGCGAGTTACAGAGGCTGAGGGTGCTTTAGGCTGGGCCAAGGCTGGATCCGACAGGACGGAGAAGATGAGCCGGAAGGAGGTGCCGTCGGTGCTGGTCCCTGCTCGCACTCTGGCGGGGAGGAGAGCCGCCCTGGTCTGGATGGCGATCGACACAGTAGGGATTTTCTGAAAGAACCCCACAGGGCAGTGAGGGGTGACCCCTTAATTTCTCTGCCTTTAGATGGGGGGCGTTCGTACTTAATACAGTTCCGGGGATAGAGTGGGCCGGACGGGAAGCGGCAGAGGGCCCCGCCTTTGCTGTGTTTCCACAGAGCATGGGCCCCGGCCGGCTGGTCTGTTAGGGGCTCTGTCCAGCCCAGGGGACCGGCCACCCAGAGAAGCTCTCAGGTCGTGCGCGCACAGCGCTGGGCCTGTGTTCATTTGCATTCATTTAATCCTGTCTTTCTTTAAAATTTTGGTATTTTGGTATTTTAACTCAGCATGAGTTGTTTTGCATTCATTTTGATTTTAGAAAAATATTGTATAAAAGTGTTATTTATTTTGATTCCTGAGCTTCTGGGCACCCCTGAAGGTTTGCAGCTGAGACCAGCACCTCACTGGCCTCACCCCAATCCCAGCCCTGCTCGAGCGCCTCTGTCAAACCCTCCGTAGCTGCACGTGGAAGAAGGGCTGGAAACGTCTCAGTGCAGACGCTGCCTGGGATTGAAAACCGGCGCTGTGCTGATGGAGGTGGCTGGCGGCTTTGTGCTGGGAGGTGCTGAGCACTACCGCGGCAGGATTTTGAACCACTGAGCCCATTTATAGATGCGATGGCCGCCTGATGGATGTGATCAGATACGGGGACGAGGAAGGTCTTGCCACCGCAGCCCTGCTGTGCAAACAGTGTAGGCGGGTGGGGAGCAAAGGGTGGCCATCCCTCAGGCTGACGGAAGGTAGCTGCCCAGGTTTGACATCTTAAAGCCAGCTTGAGTGAGAGTTATACGCTAATCCAAGCGTCATTGCCAGAGGGGATTACCCAATGAGATTGTGGCAGAAACAAGATGAGGTTAGCAGAATAGGAGAAAACTGAAGGGTGACCTAATATGGCCTTTCAATAGCTGAATGGCTGTCACTGCAGAAATGAACGAGCCACATTTTCCTCCTTGTTCTAAGGAGACCGAGCTGGGCCACCAGCTTTAGCAGCTAGCTAGAGGGCACAGACTAGGGGCCAGAATTTCTGGCAATTGGGATTTTGAAGAGCAGAAAGGCCACCTGGGAACTTCTGAGCTCTAAGTCACCCTTTCCCCAGCCCCTCGTCCTCTGCCCAGGATTCTAAGAAAGACACTCCTGCTCTGTGCAGAGCGGCCACAGAGGCCCCTCTCAACACCAGATGCGATTCTTTTTTCTCCAAATCAATCCTGTAATCATGTCCAGCGCCATGTGGTGGTCACAGCACGTTGACATCCGGGAGCCCCCAAACGTAGGCAGCATGAAGTGTGCCGTGAACACATGCAGCCAAAGCAAGGTTGTCTAACTGGAGTCCTATCAGGATGTAACCATGGAGTTTTCTGTGTTAATACATTCTATATTATAACTTTTTGTGTCTTATAGAATAATAAAATAGATATATATATATAATAGTGCTTTATGAATTTAAAGGCAAGAAAGCATAGAGTCTTTATCCCAAGTTAGTTTTTTAAAATCTCTGCTTTATGCATTAGGTACGATAGGGTCTGGGTAGAAGCATCCAGAATATGGCCCCTACAAGGCGGTAGAGGGGTGGT